GTTTTTGAACTATTCCTTTAGTTAGACCAAATGTGCCTCATATCTAGAACCTTATTCCTTGAGTTTTCTGGTAAATGAATAGATGTGCGCATATGCTCTTAGAGAACTGAGCTACAACTGTATTTTAGATTTTTTAATTTTTATTTAATTGTTTCACTATTCAATCAAGTCTCCCTAACTAGCTCCATAGGATTTTTGTAGATTTTCATTTTTACTCTTTTTCCCCCTCTTTCAAAGAGTTAATGTCAATGAACTAAAGACTATTGGGATTTCACAGTGAAAAGATAACCACGTATCTTTGTACTATCATGACCCACCTCCCACTTTTTTCTATCTTTGTGAATTTCTCCAACCCAGACTTTTATTTTGAAACTCTTTTAATTTACTAAAAAATTAAAAGAATGGTGCAGAGAATATCCATATTCCCTTCACCTAGCTTCATCAATTGTTAATATTTTGCTACATTTGCTTTATCTACCTACCTACCTATCCTTGTTCTAAACCATGTGAGAGTAAGCTGCAAGCATCATGCACTTTATCTCTAAATACTTTAGCACATAATTTGTGAGAACAAGAACAGTTTCCTAAATAACAACAATACCAATACCACACCTAAAAAATTAACATTTATACAATAATATTATCTAATAAACAGTTCTTATTCAGTTGTTTTCAATTATCCCCAAAATATTCTTTATAATAATTTCTTATCTTTTTTTGGATCCACAATCCAAAGATGATGCACTGCATTTACTTGTCACGTCTATTTAATCTCCTCTACTCTAGAACCACCCTCCAGCACACTATCTTTTTTGGTCATGCATGGCATTGACATCTCTGAAGCCCAGGCCAGTTGTCTAGTGCTATGTCCCACGATCTGGACCACAAACACATCCATCCGTTTCCTCATAATTGGATTCAGTTTAAATATTTGGCAAAGATAGGTAGTATCATAGCATATCCACTGTGTCACACCAGAATAGCCACATCAAGAGACACATAATGTCAACTTGTCCAGTTGTTGATAATGCTAAGTTTGATTACTTGGATACTTTATCATCTCTCTCCATGGCAAAGATACCGTGTAATTAATATGCAGTCTGTAGGGTGATACTTTAAAACAGCTTGAGTAGCTTGTTCCCCAACAAATTTCACCCAATGGTTTTAACAACCATTGCTGGTCCTTGCTATAGCAAATATGACATTAGTAATTGCAAAATTATAATTTTTCTAATTTTGTCATTCCTTTCACATTTATTAGCTAGTATTCTTATATAAAGAAGAGTTTTTTCCACCCTTTGTGCCTATTTTTTAAAGTAGACTATGGACACATGGATTGTTTTTTAAAATGCAATATGTTATAATTTATTACCATCATTATTCTTTTTGGTGCTCAAGTTTTCCAAGATTAACTAGTAGGAACCCATCAAGATTTTGACGTGTTCACATTAGTGTTGGAATGGGATACAACATTCTATGCACACCTATATTTACCTTACTCTGGACTTGAATCTCTCATTTTCTCTAAGGAGGTTCCATGGGATTTTAAACTAGATTCTAGCAAACCTTTCTGGCCTCCGACAAGATTAGGTACCATGGGACTGTCCTGAGAAGGAGGCCCCTATGGAAAGTCAACTGAAGCAGGAAGAGGAAAATGTCCCATATTATAGTAGGTCTGCCAATCTGGGTGGTTTTCTGGCACCATTAGGTATCCCGTGCCCCAAACTCCTACCGTACTCCATCAGTCTGAGTTGTAGCAGGACTACCTTTTACAATTCTCCTGAACTTGAACAATCCCTGTTTCCTTTTGCCTGCTGAATTCTGCACACCTTGCATTCAAACTAGACTGGTTTCTTTGTCACATAGTGGAAGGGCATCATTCACAGTACTGTGGGTCTTTGCCTTACAACAAAGAATTCAGAACAGGGACCACAAGAAAAAGCTAATATCTAGATTACAAATGTGTTCAGATAGAGAGAAATATATTCTTCACGTAAGTGTTTACTAAATAGCTCCTGGATAAATAAGAGCATTTCAGCCTTAAGTGCTCAGCCTGCCATCCACAAATCCCAACAGAGTGTTAAAAGAAAAATTAATTCCATGAGAGTAGAGATGTTTTAGGTATTTTAAATGAAAATCAGTCTGCTGAGATTATTCCCTATAAATCTCAACTTCCATCTCCCTTCATTCCACCTAGTGACATTTAACCAAAAACACTTTTGCCAATGATAATAAACATTTGTGCCTCCGCAATGGCTGGGAAGCCTCCTTGGAATGATGAGTTAGGAGAGCGCACTGCAGCGTAAGGGTGTCACCTGGCCAGCGGCCAAGTTCACTCCCCATTATTCAGAGGTTCACGCCAGTGAGTTTAACTGAATCATGTCAGAATCCTCCTCTGCAGGCTCAGAGGCCTCCATGACCTTTCTCTAGGTTTTTCTTTCTAATTGTTACAGGTTGCTGTGCTCCTTTAAGTAATTTGTTGGGCGGAATGGAGGGGGGCGAGAGAGGGGACGCACATTTTTGGTCAGCATAGTCTTTGGATAGCACAGGGGTGTGAAAGGTCAGTGAGGGACCCCCTAATACCACCCATTTGTTCTTCCAGCCACATTTCAGGAAACTGAGCTCACACTCATTTTCCTTCTGAATAGAAACAGCAAGAACCATAGGGTTTTAAGTGTGAGAAAAATAGTAAACACAGGGAGATGATGTCTCTGCAATGCTTTCTGTCGATAAAGTGTGGCCACAGCCACGGGGCCCTCACAGGGTCTGAAATAACCTCAATCACTGTCTATTCAGAGCAGGCCTGGACATGGGTGGAGGACTTGGAAGTGCCAAGTTCTGTTCTCAGGTGATTTTAATGAGGTGAAGTAATGCAAGTGAGTCCAAACGTTTTGCCTCATCCCCACTCTGAGAGGCATTAATAGGTAATACCAGAAAAAAATTTTGCATCTCTATGGAGATACATAGTTCCAAAACATTTTAACTTTTTTTTCCCATTAGATCCCTACAATTTTGTGTAGAAAGTAGAGCCATAGCATTATTCATATTTTCTGAATGAAAAAATGAGAGTCTCAAAGATTGGGGCAGTCAGTTAAAGGTAAAATAGCAACAAAAACCTAGATTTTCTTACTCTCAATCCCAGGACCCTCCTGAGGCCATTATTCTGTCTGCATCATGACCCTACAATCCAGTGTGCCAAAAGGACATTTGGCAAGATGGTGCACTAAATTCTGTTCCATCCCCCTCAGCTCTCCACGCAACAATCCCCTCCATAAGCCGCATCCTATAAAAGTATTCCCTCACATTGAAAGCTGAAATGCTTCCATTATTAGATACAAATACTGGATAATAGGTGATGCTCCTCTGAAGGATAATATGAAATTTAAGATATCTAGACTTTAAGATATTCCTTCGCTGTTTAAGTATTTCATGAGCACCTGCTACATGCCAGACGCTGCTTTAGGCACTGGGAATTCAACAATTACCAAGTCAGACAAATTATTTGCCTTGAGGGGCCTTGCTACATCCCAGTGGCACTTTCAGCTTAATTGAGGAACAAAGCTCATACGGTGGAATTTCAGGCATCACTTCACAATTGGAAGAAGATTTTACAGGCAGCAGCCTTCCCGGGCAATCTTCAGTCATAGCAGGTTTGGTGCCTGCTTATCCAGCCCCAATCACCTGATCACGTTTCTTTTTTATGCCTCCGTTGTTTCCCTGATAGACATTACCATTCCTCCTCCTTGCCCGGCATCTATAGTATCTCTCCCTGGGTGGGCAATAAATGGTTAGTTTCAAGCCTGATCTGTATTTACCTACTTTCAGGTTTCTGTACAGCTGTGGAATTCAAATGGATCCCACGGGATCTGTGCAAGTGAGAGGTAGCATTCACATGGCCGGCCTGTGCCCAGAGGACTCCATCATCTAAAAGGAGAGCACGTGGAACATTTTCATGTTCATATCCTGACATAATTAAATGTCCAAAGCCACATGTATGAAAACCTTACATCTTCATGGGCAAAATCAGGGTTGCTAATGTTAAACAACTCCAAGCCACGGAGATTTTATTGCTTCCATTCCAATATTAATAAGATACATGCTGTACAGGAAAACAAAATACCACTTGACTTTCTTATTGTAATCAACGATTCAGCATGAGGAACACTAAATCTATTGAATCAAGAAAGAGAAATTAGAAGGAGGGAATCAACTTTGTACCGAGCCATCTAAAACCTCTAGCTCTAGAAATAAATCTTTTTTTTTCTTGTTTTGCAGAAAGTAAACCCAAAAAGGGTGTAACCTACCCATCGGTTCTTACATATTCATCATCCAGAAGCCCAGCTGCCCAAGCAGGCAAGTATTCATGTGTGATTTAATCTAAACCTTTTGAGTTCATAAACACACAATGTTGTGTTTTAGGAGATAGTGCAGAAGTTAACATCTTAACTAGTCAAGCTCCACTGACTCGTAATATTTTAACAGATGCCAGGAACATGGCACAGAAACCAATGGGATCAGATGGCTGGGGCTGAAGAGTGACAGCTTTATTTTTTGCTTTTGCAATTCCAATATTGTCTCTGTATTTGTGTCATTTTCATTCAGGATGATTGTTGCCTTGAATTTTATTGTATTGTTACTGTAGAAGATGACATGACATTCTGTCTGGAAATGTTTCCTGGCAGCTAAAAGGAGAAAGGCTGTATCTACTTAGGTATGAAATGAAGGGAAGCAAAAAGAAAATGTGTCTTATGTGATAACAGCAAGCAGCTAATCCTGATAACCCAGGCCAGAAATACACTGCCCATGGGGTTGTGCCAACCCAGCTTCCATGTGAACCACAAAAGGGAGTACAGGTTGACCTCAGGCCAAGAAAATATCTTTTTCTTATTCTCTGTGTTAAATCAAGAACTGCACTATGCATTAGTGCATCTTTGAAGGTGCTTTGATTTCTCACACAGTCAAAGAGAAGCTGTGAGTTCCCTTATAATGGGATTTTGCATTGCTCCCAGAAAGTTGATGGGCTAGCTGATTTAGTTCAGCTGTTAAATCAAGAACTGCACTATGCATTAGTGCATCTTTGAAGGTGCTTTGATTTCTCACACAGTCAAAGAGAAGCTGTGAGTTGCCTTATAATGGGATTTTGCATTGCTCCCAGAAAGTTGATGGGCTAGCTGATTTAGTTCAGCTTCTATTCATGCACTTAAGGTGAATGTGGTTTAAGAATAGCAATGGAAACTAGCATTTATTGAGCATTTGCTGTGTGCCAGGCACTTTTCCAAGAGTGTTTAATCACCCCAGGCCCCTTCAGTATGTACTACTCTTGGACCTATTTTACAGTGTGAGAGAAAGCAGCACAGAGAAGTTAAGAAACTTATCCTTTGCTAAGCAGCTAGAAAGTAGCAGAGCTAAGAATCAAACCCAGACAGGCTGGCTCCAGAAACCCCTCTCTAAATCATCATCTAAAATTTTCTTATGCCTTTAACAGGGCACATAGAGCCCCAACTTGAGGAGCCTTGGCATACAAATAGGGAATGTTTTTTGGTTTTCCCCCAATTACTATCTCAACTATATTTTTATTGACTTCTTAAATAGTGCAGTGACCTAGACCTGTTTGTTTAATTGCAAGAATACAGCTATTCTCCACCCCCACCCATAAGCTGGTAGTGGATGGTGGTGCTTTGTGGACTGCTTCTGAGATATCACCTGTCCTCTTTTGGCCTGGGCACAGGGAGGACAAACAGGTCTTCAATGGCTGGTATCTGTTGTTTCATCTAGCCTGGCAGCCTCTGTTGATACAATGACTCCGAGTAGGTGATATATGTGGATATCTGGGGCAAGGGGACAGTATTCAGCTCTAACCTGGCCTCCCCTGTTGGGCCAGAGATCTGTGCTCCCACCCCTTTCTCCAAGTTAAGTATCCCATCCCCAGGCCCAGCAGCCCCCTGGGCAGCCCCTTCACATGGAGCCATGGCAATGGCTGGGGTTCTCTTTGGCCCCCTCCGGGGTCTGTGGAGAACTGGAATGAGGTGAGGTTACCTTCCTCTTCCCATCTCACTTCACCTTTGGCTCCTGAGCCCTGCTGGCCTGGGACACTCCAGTGGCACCCCTGTCCCTCTCAGAGGTCCCTAGGGCAGAAACAGGTGCCATGTAAACCCCTCAGCCTCAGGGACCACATGTCAAGCACCCCCACCCCCTATTTTTATAATGAGAGTACCTATGGACTCCTAGAATACTCCCCCCAAACTCTTTGCAAAAAGTGCTCCCACAGTGCACAAGGGGGTCTGTGGATGCTGTGACACAGAAAGATGGAGGGAAAGGAGATGCTCATCCCCGCCCTTGCAGGCCCCTACAATCCTGATGAATGACTCTCACAAAGCACCTTCATTTGGCTGGGAGAGAGCAAAGTCCCTCATTCATTCATTCATTCTATAACCACATATTGAGTACCTCCTGTGTGCCTGACCCCGAGCTAAACTATAAGCATTACAACATGTAAAGGGTACTTGGGTCTCTCCCAGTTTCAAAATAGAGGAACCTCTCTTTTTAAAGTCACAGACCCAACACAGAGTAAGTTTTCACCAATTCAAATATAAAATTCCAGTGAAAACCACACAGGGGTGGCCCCTTGTTGCTACTCTTCCTTAAACCATAAAATTTCTTTATGAATTGGGGGAAGCAGAAGAGCTGGAGATGGGAGGGCCAGCAGCGAGCGGGTCTCAGCATGCTCCTACAAAAGCTTCCTAGTCTCTCCAAGAATGTGAGTTAACAGGTAAATCAGGTTAGGAGGACCCCCAAAAGCATAACAACTTTCTTCCAAGGGAAATTATCTCACTCGAAAAATAGAAGGCATCTTGCAGCTCACACTGAGGACAGACATTACCTGAGATTTAAATGCTGTGCCCCAGGCAGTTAGCAAACATTAGTCGGGCAGCTGTTACTTGGCTAGAGCCTCAGCTAGTTGTTCTGAGCTAAATAAAAACAAGTTAAGTGTTGGTTTGTACAAGTTCACCAAAAATTGGGAAAGCACATTCCTGGTACCCCAGCAAGAGAAGGGAAAATAAATCTTTATTACTCTGCCACTGAAGAGAGTGCCAGGAAACCCTCCTGCTTTTCCCTGGCTGTCTGCTGAGTCCCCGCCCAGGAAGAAAGGCAGGCTGCAGTTCATTATCACAAGTGTGACTTCCCGGGAACCTCCGCCCTCACTGCCTGTGCCTACCAAGGCCAAGGCCGCTCCCTCACCCTCTCTTGAGAATAAGATCTCAAGTGACCCTCGGCCACCTTCTAATGGGAGCCACATTCAGGAATCCTGAAGCTACTCATGACTTGCCTTCCACTTTATGCCTCTTTTGTGAAAAGCAGCAAGGATTTGGAATCAAACAAACATGAGTCCAAATCTTGGCTCTGCTGTGTGACCTAAAATGCGTTTTGTGACCTCTTAGAAAACCTGTCCCTTATCTTAAAAATAGGAATACTTGGATCAACTTCCAGAATTGTGATTAATATTAAATGTGAATGCTTATGTAAAAGAGGCCTTCATAGTATCTGGCACATAGTATATGCTCAGCGAATATGAGCTATTCTGCCTTCATGTATGACCCCGAGGCATGTAATGAGTTAGGGGTGGAAAGCACCAAATCCTCCCCCATCACTCTGACCTCCGGGCTAATTGCTGCTAAATTGGCTTCAGTCTCCTTCAGTTCACCTCCCATTTGACACCTACCGAAAGCACTGTTTTTCACTGGGGGAGGCGGAGGAATATCAGGTTGAGAAACTCCAGCTACTGCCATTTATCGAATACCAACCATGGTCACACACCATGTGGTCTCTTTATAGACATGATCTCTAATTACAACAACAGCCCTGCCGAGTGGGTATGACCATCCTCATTTTCCAGCAAAGGGACCCATGCTCAGAAAGATTTAGTGGCTGGGCTGGTGAGGGTAGAGCCAGGAGACCAGCCCAGCCCTAGCTGTGGTTCCCAAATCAGAAATTCAAGCCCTCCCCCGGTGTCCCCAGATCCAGTGAATCAGAATCTCTGTGACAGAGCCCTGTAGCCTGCATTTTCACACCTGCATTTTCACACCTCCTCTGTAATTCTAATGATGAGCCAGGTGTAGGGAGAGCTGAGGCGCCACCTGCTGCAGAGAAGGTGGCTGTCAGGAGTGTCCAAAAGAGCCTAAGGGACGTTTTGAAATGTTTTCCCATGAAAATCTTTGAAAAAAAGTCCAAACCTCTATGTATCTGAGATTTTATGAAGAAACTATTTCACTGGTTTTATTTCAAATTTGCTCAAAAAGAACCTGGTTCCATGAAGAATTCACTTTGGATCACACCAAGGGCATTATGTTCAGTAAGGAATTGGGAGCAATTGGGGTAGGTAGAGTGATTTTTCTCTATCTCCCCTCCTAAACACATGAAAGAGAGAAGGCAAAAACAACCATGGAAGTCCACGGAAGCCCATGGCTACCCTGGTTGAATTTATGATGTGCTTGAAAGCATCTGTGTTATAAGCAAGTAACTCAAAGGCTGCCCTCAGGATATTTAACCTCTCTTTAGCGAATCAATATTAGCAAAGGCACACTGGGGTAGCCAGAAGCTTTGCAATTAGCCAATGGTGTGTGAAAAAGATAATTCAGATTTTCAATATGCAAGTATAGTAAGTTTAAGGTGGCAAGAATATTCACTATTTGCAAAGTAGAAGTTTTATATTTCACATATTGTGGTTTAATTAATAATTTAAAAGTAAAATGTACTGTCAGTTTATTTATATATTTCTCTCCAAATTAATAATTATATCCTATTTCATAAAATGTACAAGTGATTCTGTTAAATGGTTTTTTGCTAGATGAAGTAGGTCAAACCTGGGTCCGCATCTCCCTAAAGAGGCATTAATGCCTATTAGCATTTACCAGAGGGTAAGACAGAAGAGTAGTCTGAAGAAATTAGACACTTCCTTAGGACTCATTGTGAAAGCTGAATCCCTTAAAAGTAATGGAAATGTCATAATTTAGGCAGGTTTGGTTTGACCCTAGGATATCTCAAAGACTGGCTGAACCCCCAAGAACACTGCCAGCTCTTTCGGGATTTGTCTGGCACATTCTATAGGCAGATTTAAAGGTGACCAACTATTAGCAAGAAACAGGGTAAATGGGGGATCTGCTTCCTGCCTTGCCTGGCTAATGCCTACAGGAGCAGCCTGAATGGCTGACTCCCACCCAATTCCAGGGTTGCTGATTGCTGGCCTGCTCTCCCAAGTCATTGCTGTGATTCCTGCAGAAGGCAACAGGGTCAGGGTGGGGAAATGAGCAGTGCCAGGCCGCAGATCTGAACACCCCACCACAAATGTGTCTGCATGGCTGGCCCAGGACTACAGTCTGACGGTTTTCTCAGGATGCTGTACAATGTCAAAGAGGAAGTTGGATGGTTTCCCCAAAGAAGGAATCAGCTTCTAATCTCAGGTGCTATGTCCTGAACCTGCTGTCTGTGTACCAAAATGCATCACCCCTAAGCATAGTGAAGGCTAGAGCTGGGATGATGTGGTAGGCTGAAAAATGCCCCCCAAAAGTATCCACATCCAATCCCTGGAACCTGTGGATGTTTCCTTATATGGCAAATAGAGGGGTGAGAGGGGAGTTGCTAACGCAGTTAATTTAAGGATCTTGAGATGGGAATATTATCCTGGATTATCTGGGTGGGCCCTAAATGCAATCACATGCATCCTTGTAAAAGGGAGACAGAGGGAGATTATTTCACACCCATAGAGGAGAAGGTCGTGCAAAGATGCAGCTGAGAAAGAACTGAGGATGCTGAAGACTGGAGTGACATGGCCACAAGCCAAGGGATGCCAGCAGCCAGCAGGAACTGAAACACAGTCTACTCTAGAGCTTCCCAAGGGAGTTCAGCACTGCTGACACCTTGGGTTTGGCCCTGAGTTTGATACTGATTTTGGATTTCTGGCCTCCAGAACTGTGAGAGGATAAATTTCTGTTGTGTTAAGCCACCCAGTTTGTGATCATTTGTTACAGCAGCCACAGGACACTAGTAGGATGCACAGCTGTAGCAGCCAGACTGCCCCCGTGGGCCCAGCAGGCACGTGCAACAGAGGGTAGCTGGTCCCTCCCAGGACTGAGGTGCTCTTCACATTGGGGGCCACTATGCGTCTCCCTCTGGCACAGACCCACGGTTCTCAAGACAATCCCTGATGCCCAGTGGGCAGCCACTTGCCCCCTTGCCCTAAACCTTCAGAGGTAATCTCAGGACACCCAGAGCACTAACAAATTGAGACTGGCTTTACAGAGAAGCACCTACAGTGGTGTTTAAAATTGTGGAAGCAATCTACATTATCACACATGGATGAAGAGCACGATTTAGAAATAGAATCTAGATGATCCTTACCTTCTAGTTAGTTTTGTTACTGCATTTTACAGATGAGGAAACTGAAGCCCAAAGGAGTTGTTTGACTAGTCAAGAGCCAACCTAAACTAGAACATCTAGAATGCATTCTCTAAGAGTAAGTCAGAGGGAAAGCCCCCAAAGTATCTATTGTTAGGCCAGTGCTAACTGCAACAGCAAAAAAAAAAATATCTACATGGACCCGTTGCTTGTGGTGCCTGGCAAATTAACTGGCAATTAATCATGTTCTGCCTTGTCTGTGCAGCTGTAGTTTTGTACTGTCATTTAACTACATTATTGCTTTTCTAATCGTTGGTTTGTTTATTGGCTTATTGCTCTGAGATGATTTAGGCAGGAATTGTGGGCTGTTCGTCTAGATTTCACCCTCTACAGTGGCTAGCACAGGTCTTTCCTCAAAGCTAGTGTTCAATAAAAAAAAATTTTTTAATTTCTAGTTCTGTAAGAGCCTACAGGCTATTTTGTAGGCCCTGGTGTAATTCTATTTTCTTACAGGTGAGACCACAAAAGCATGTCAGAAGCCAATCGTTCCAGGGACAACTGCGCAGCCTGTCACTCTGATGCAGGTTCTGGCTGTCACCGCAGACAAGGCCACCCCCAGCATCTTGCCAAAGCCATCCTCATCCACAGCCTCTACCACCAGCAGCCCCAGACCACAGCCTGTGGGCTACAGGAGCCGGGAGATGGGTCAGTAGGTAGACCGGGTGTTGCTGTGAGCTGGGCCAGGGGTATGTGGTTGTGTCTTCCCGGATTCAAGGGAAGATATAGATTCAAAAGTAGGGCTACTGTTATCGTACTGTTGAAGGCAGGATATTGTGTGAAACTCTCCCACTGCAAAGTCCCCATTTCTCTAAAGCTCAGTTGGAGAGACAGCATGTTTCTATGTAAACATTGCTGGGGGCTCTTTTTTGTTTTTTTAAGTGACAAATAGTATACTCCTGGAAGTCTTCAAATATTAGAAGCAAATAAAAACAAAAGAATCCCTTTAGGAAAAGTCAGATAGCTAAAATTTTTGTTCCTTTTCTGATTGCTTTTTCTCTTACCACTTTTATCCATTTCTTAAATCATGCTTTAGGTTTTACTGAAGTCCAGTTTATAGAATTAATCTCAGCACTACATCAGACAGGGCCTTAAGAGCTATCTGGTAATCCAATCTCGAGTTTGGATTTTCTTGAGGATTATATCTATGCCATCCTGGGCTCATACGAGGGTACTTCTAAAAGTTTGTGGAAAAATAGATTAAAAGATAGTACAAATCTTTCCATGAACTCTTTGAAGTCCCCTTGTAAGCACCCACCTCATTTCTAAGAGCTTTCTAGCAAGCAGGTGGGAGTGCCAATATTGTCCCAGCAATTTTTTCTGAATATTTCCCACCTGGTGCCACTTTTTCCTTCTAGGAGGAAGTGCCCTGGACTTGTTCTTTTCAGCCCTGCACGGCCTTTATCCCTTCCACAGCAGAGCCCAGCTATCATCTACATCTCTTTTCATTCAACCAACCTGAGTCAGCACTTTCAATGTGCTGGACACTTTTCTAAGCACCTTACAAAAATCAGCCTATTGAATCCTTCATAACAACCCTATGAAGTAGATATATTATTTCTAATTTGAATAACCTATTGTATCAATCATGACAAAACTAAGGAGTAGATCCGTAAGGAAACTGACCCCAGGTCACAAAGCTGGGTAGTAGCAGAGTTGAAATTCAAACTCCAGCAGCCTGGCCCCCCTCTGACCTTCCCCCAGGCCCAGGCAGAACTCACCTTGACACGGTTGGAGTGGCAAGATTAGAGGGTGCTAACCCAGCCAATTTCTTCTGTAAATAATAATAAGTAACAATGCACTAGTCCATACATTCCATGTGCCAGGCACGCTGCATGCATTATGTTAGTTAATGTTCCCAACAACTCTATGAAATAGGATTATTATTCCATTTTATGAATGACTCATGGAAGAAGCCATGGTTTGTGGAAAAATAGATTAAAAGATAGTACAAATCTTTCCATGAACTCTTTGAAGTCCCCTTGTAAGCACCCACCTCATTTCTAAGAGCTTTCTAGCAAGCAGGTGGGAGTGCCAATATTGTCCCAGCAATTTTTTCTGAATATTTCCCACCTGGTGCCACTTTTTCCTTCTAGGAGGAAGTGCCCTGGACTTGTTCTTTTCAGCCCTGCACGGCCTTTATCCCTTCCACAGCAGAGCCCAGCTATCATCTACATCTCTTTTGATTCAACCAACCTGAGTCAGCACTTTCAATGTGCTGGACACTTTTCTAAGCACCTTACAAAAATCAGCCTATTGAATCCTTCATAACAACCCTATGAAGTAGATATATTATTTCTAATTTGAATAACCTATTGTATCAATCATGACAAAACTAAGGAGTAGATCCGTAAGGAAACTGACCCCAGGTCACAAAGCTGGGTAGTAGCAGAGTTGAAATTCAAACTCCAGCAGCCTGGCCCCCCTCTGACCTTCCCCCAGGCCCAGGCAGAACTCACCTTGACACGGTTGGAGTGGCAAGATTAGAGGGTGCTAACCCAGCCAATTTCTTCTGTAAATAATAATAAGTAACAATGCAGTAGTCCATACATTCCATGTGCCAGGCACGCTGCATGCATTATGTTAGTTAATGTTCCCAACAACTCTATGAAATAGGATTATTATTCCATTTTATGAATGACTCGTGGAAGAAGCCATGATATAAAGTCCCCAAACAAGAATACCATAAAAATAATTTTCTGAGGTTCTTAAATATATCAAACACTTTCCCACCATCCTATTCTTATTTAATTCAAGCTAATATTAACACAGGCACACAATAACTGACAGCAAAAGAGAAATAGGAAGGATGCTGGATAACAAGGGTTAACAGGGGTCCCACAGGCAGAAGTTTTCCTTTTTTAAATTTCAGGCTCTTGACTTTAGATTCCTTAATTCTTTCAAAGATTTTTGAGTCTCTGAGTAACTTGTTTGCTCCTGTCGTCTCCTTAAAGGACGTCAATTCTTACATAACATATATAATTAAACATGTGTCATATTTATTTGGCTTCACTGGAAGCTTGCAAATCCTGTTGCAAATTGGGCTGTGCTTATGNATTTCAGGCTCTTGACTTTAGATTCCTTAATTCTTTCAAAGATTTTTGAGTCTCTGAGTAACTTGTTTGCTCCTGTCGTCTCCTTAAAGGACGTCAATTCTTACATAACATATATAATTAAACATGTGGCATATTTATTTGGCTTCACTGGAAGCTTGCAAATCCTGTTGCAAATTGGGCTGTGCTTATGGAAAACCTCAAGAAACTTGAAGTAGTGGCTCCCAACCTGGCAAAGCTTCATTATTCCTGGCTTGGGGACAGGGGCTTTGGACAACAGCCTCCCAGTCCATCAGTGTTCCCTCTTCATCCCTGTCCAGCACCCGCTTCCATGCTGACCCACATACTGTTAGAAAAATCCTCAGAACAAGTACTCCGTGCAGCATGCACCGTAATTGCTGAGAAAGGAGCCAAATTGGGGAGGGAGCACTTTTTAAAAACTGTATTGCCTACTGAAATGATTTCCTGTAAGCATGAAAAGAAGGGAAAATTGAAGTTTAAATGCTTATGCCTTTTTAAAAATAATCTTATGGAGATACTTTTCACGTGTCATACAATGCACCCATTTAAAGTGTGCAGTTCAATGGTTTTTAGTATATTCATAGAGTTGTGCGACCATCGCCACAACCAATTCTAGAACATTTTCATCACCCCCAAAAGAAACCCCATACCCATGAGCAGTCACTCACCATTTCCCCCTATCTCCTCCCCCTAGGCCTAGGTAAGCACCAATCTACTTTCACAAATGCCTATTTTAATGTTTTAATGTATGGCTATAGATATTTGCTGTGATATTTTAGCCCAACTATATTAAATAATATTTAGTATTTAGATAACTTTTTTTCTTCCAATGAGCTAAAAATATTCTGCCAATTATA